GAGGCTGGCTCTGTCACCTCCCATCAAAATGGGAGCAAATGCTGGCGGCCTCCCAGGGGCTATGAAAGAGCAAGAGACCGATAGTCGGGGGGAGGGTCCTGGGCTAGGAGTTTGAGACGCTCGGGGAGGTGTCTTCACCTGTCTGAGCCCACAGCTTCCGGTGCGCTTCCGGGGCAGTGGCCGAGCCCTGCGAGTTGAGGCCAGCCCGGCCATGAGGACAAGAGTGGCCCACGGTCACAGGGAGGTAGGTGGTCATGGACTCAGGGAGGAAGGTCTAACCACACGCGGGGGTGGGGGTGTCCCACAGGGGGAGAACCAGCGCAGGGGCAGTGGCCGTTGGGTCACACCATCGTGGAAGGGGGTGGGAGGCCCACCTGGCCGGTGGGCCCAAGGGAAAGGTGGGCCAAACCATTCTGAGGCGGAGGGGCCCTGACGGGATGAAACCACCGTGAAGTGCCGCCTTCAGAAACCAAACCCACAAGGCTCCGCTGCTGAAAACGACCCACCTATTTTCACAACCCTGGCTAGTAGCGGTTCCCAACACCCCCTCTGGAAAACGGCAAGTCCCATGAGCCACTGCTGAGTGCCACCCTAGAGCCAGTGCAGATAGAACCCAGGCCTGAACCCCTACACTGCCTCCTCTGGGCCCAGTCCTCACACTGCCCCAGGAGACCCAGCCCAGAAGCCTCGGGGCCCACCTGGACACCCCCCTGGGCCTCTCCCTCCATCAGGCCAACCACTTCTACTGCCTTCTCCTGCACCACACCCATTGATCACCGGGAAACCTCACACAATCCCCCTCTTTGTCCCCAACCTCTCCACCCTCCCGGTCCAGGGAGCCAGCTCTTCCATCAGCCTGCCTGTCTTGTCTCACCAGCACTGCCACCTGCTGGTGTTTCCCTCCCAGCACCATCCGCTTCCCACTGCGGGGGACACCACTGGACAAGGTGCCCTGGGGCTGTCCCAAGCTCCCGACACACGTCATCTTACAGGATCCTGTTTCTATCCGGCTTAGACTCAGAGAGGTTAAGTAACTTGCCCCAAGCCACACTGCCAATAAGGAAAGGGTACGGGACTTTCTAACGCAGGTCAGCCTGACAGCATCTTCCACTCACCCTCTACAGAGCGATGAAAACTAGGCAGACCTGCTCGCGACAGGACAGTAAGTAAGCACAAGTAAGCCCGTGTTTACCTTGCTTATTGGATACCCCCCCAAACCACGGTTTCCAGAGCACTTATAGCGCATCCATGCCTCTGCCAGTTCGTGACACCTGACAACACCCCCCCATCCTCCAAAAGACCCATGAGACAGAAATGCAGGGTACCCCTAGTTTACAGAAGGGGGGACTGGGGTATGGGTTAACTGCCTGTAGTCAGAGGCTGACTTCAGCACCCACAAGCTTAACTCCTCCCAACAGCCTACCAAGTGGCACCAGGGACAGAGGATGTCAGCTCTGGCCAGACACAGCCTCGGAGGGCCCCGGCCCCGCACTGTGCAGAACTTCTAGTGACTCCCTGATGGAAGGCAGAGGGCGCCCTCCGTGGCATAGTGGTTACACGTTGGACTGCTAATCCCAAGGTCAGCAGTTCAAAACCTGCCACGGTCGGTGATTAAAAAATCGACAAAGCTTTCCATTCCCATTGAGAATTATAGTCTCGGAAACCCACCGAGGTGGCTCTTCCCTGTCCTACAGGGTCGGCACTCTGAGTGGGAATCCCCTGGAGGGCAGTGAGTTTAGTTTGGGCTTTTTTGCGGGAACTGATCATCAAAAACTTGGAGCCACTGATGGCAAAGCTGGCTTTGACCCTGTCTCCTGACCCCAGCCTTGAGCCCTTCGCAGCCTCTGGCCCGGAGCCTCCACATACCTCCCTGAGGGCCCGCTTCTCCCGGAGTTCCCTCTCGGCTTCCTCCAGGTGTCGGCGGCCCTGGCCCTCCAGCGCCTGCAGCCGGTCCTCAGCGGCCTCAGCCCGGGCCCGCAGCCGGGGCCCCTCACGCTCCCACTGCCTCCGCTCTCGGCCTGCTGCAGCCAGCGCCTCGGTCAGTGCCTCTCGCTCCCGAGCCAAGGCCTCCAGCTCCCCGCCTGCTGCCTCCAAGGCCTCTCGGAGGCGGGCCTGCTCCTGGGCCTGGGCCTGGGCCTCCTGGTGGGCCTCGGCCTCCGCCCTGCGCGCCTGGGCCAGCTCCTCCGAGAGGCGGGCGGCCTCCGAGCTTCGGGCCTCTAGCCTCCGGCCCTGGGCCTCCAGCTCTGCCTGGAGAGCCTTGGCCTCTCGCCTCAGCTGGGCCACCGCCTCCCTCAGAGTCTCCAGGGTCCCCTGCTCTGGGACATCACTGGCCAGGCCCTCCCCTGGAACCAGCTGCTCCCGGGCCTGGGTCTCAGGAGCGTCCTCTGACCTCTGCTGGGTGGCTTCCTCACCCATCCCCTCCAGCCTCTGGTCCCTGCCTCTGGCCTCTGTCTGCACATTGGACAGGTCCAGCCCCTGGTCTGGGGTCCCTTGCTCCCCAAAATGTACCCCAAGGCCCGAGGGTCCTGGCTTGAGCTCAGAGCCCTCCTGTCGCAGCCCCAGGGGCCCAGGCACCGGCTGCTCTAGAGGGCCAGGTCCCTCCTCAGTTTCACCTCCAGACAGCAAATGGGCCTGAAGTTTGATCTCTGGACTCTGAGACGCTGCCACACCACAGACTCCATGGCCAGCCAGCTCCGAGGACGCTGGTGTCTCCATAACAGGGCCTGACTCTTGGGGGGCTGAGCCTGAGGGCTGGGGGATCATCGCTGCTTCCTGGAGGGGCCTCCCCACAGCCTGTGGGCCTGGCTCAGATGCCCCAAGACACCCTATTAACCCTTGAGGCTCAGAGTCCGCTGTCCCCGGAGCAGGGCCTGACTCTTGGGGAGCCAAGCCTGACTCAGATACCCCAAGACATTCAGCTGGCCCCTGGGGCTCGACGTGATCTGCTGTCCCCGGAATCTCCAGCCCTTCCTCGCCCGCTGAGGGTCCAGGGCCCTGGGAGCCCTGGTCTTCAGTCATCTCTGGACCGATGGCGTCCTCCCTCGGCTCTTCCAGCAGAGGGCACTGCGGACACAGGAGCGGGACTCAGGCTCAGAGAAGGCCCAGGAAGCAGCCACTAGCCGGTGAGGAGTGAAGCTCACCTGCCTGCCTGGGGGCTCCTGCAGCGCCTGCAGCAGGTTTCGAAGCTCCTGATTCTCCAGCTCCAGGGTTCTCAGCCGCCCAACCTCGGCCTCCCGCACCTCATCGTGCAGAGAAGGGCCTACTCCTGGCAGGGGAGCTGGGGAGGGACCCCTCTACCCTTAGTTCCGCCACATTCCCTGACCCCTCCCATACAGCCCCACCAAGGCCCCACAGGCTGGCTGCCGCCTCACCCTCCCCAGGGGAGCTGGGGGCCGGCTCCAGGCTCCGATGAAGGTCCAGCCCCAGCTCTATGTTCTCATCTGACAGCTGCTCCACCTGGTGCCGCAGAGAATCCAGCTCCTGGGAAGGGGCGCGGGAGGCTGGGTCAGGTGGTGCACCCCACCTGGCCTGGCAAGTGTGGGCCTGTGAGTCCCCAGTCATCCCCTGGCCGGGTAGTCACAGAAACTCCTAAAATTTCAGGGGTGGGTAGAAGCATGGATCAATAGGGACCCCGCCACCCAGCTGGGGTGGTGGTCTGCCAGCCTCACCGCGTGGGCCTCGCCCAGCCGGGTCCGAAGTATTAGATTCTCCCTCTGGCTCTCATGCAGCCGGGCACAGCGCTCACGGGCATCCTCCAGCTGCCCCTCCAGCAGGGCCTTAGAGGCCTCCAGGGTCCCCAAGAGCAGCCGCTCCTCCTGCAGAGGGAACAGGAAGAACGGGCCCCTAGGGCTGAGACAGGGGGGCTCTGAGCTCAAGCCAGGACCCTCAGTACATTTTGGGGAGCAGGGGACCCCAGACCAGGGGCTGGACCTGTCCGATGTGGGTTCCGGGGCCGGGCTCCCAAGATCCAGGCCCTGGGCCTCAGCTCCTGCAGCTGACCCCTACCCTTGTCCCACTCTGGGGCCCCCATCTCACCCTCCTCCATCCCCTTTCCCTCCTTTCCCTGCCTTTAAGACCCTCTGAGAATGAGGAGGAGTGGAAAGCCCTGCTGATGAAGATCAAGGACTGCAGGCTTGCGTGTGGGTGACAGCTCAATGCCAAGTGGACCCCCATCCTCACAGCTGGCCCCACAGGTGATAGCACGATCAATGGAAACGGTCCAGACCGCCAAGGATGTCTGTCACCTTGCTTGACCCACGTCAGTGCTCAGAGAAGCAGCAGTCGGGAGTTCAAAGGACGCAGTGCACTGATTGGATCAATCTGCTGCACCAGACCTCTTCAAAGTGTCAACAAGCACACACGTTGCTCTGAGAATGGAGGTCCACCTGACCCAAGCCGTGGGGGTCTCCATTGCCCCCTCCGCATGTGAAAGTCGGACACTGAATCAGGAAGACTGAAGAAGGATCCACGCATCTGCCTGATGGTGTTGGAGAAAATATTGGGGAAAGTACCATGGACTGCTGAAAGGACAAGCCGATCCGTCTTGGAAGAAGCACTACCGACCGCTCCTCAGTAGCGAGGACGGCGAGATGTTGTCTCACATACTTTGCACATACTGTCCGGAGAGACCCGTCCCTGGAGAAGGACATCGTGCTCGGTCACGCAGCGGGGCGGTGAAAAAGAGGAAGGCCCTCTGCAAGATGGGTGGACACCGAGGCTGGGACAGTGAACGGCTGTGAGGATGTCGCTGGACTGGGCGGTGTTTTATTG